ACGTACATGTGGGAGATACACACAGTAGAATGTTCTTCAACCATAAAGAAGAAGAAAGCTTTCTCATTTGCAGAGAAATGGATGAAGCTGAAGACCATCATCTTAATCAAAACAAAATTATCTCATACAGATAGTGCATGTTCTCCCTAATATGTGAAATCTGAAAAGACAATGAGAAGGGAGAAAGGAGGCCATTCTTAGACAAAGGGATAAGAGGGGTGATGGGTACAATTAAAATATATGCGTTGAAACTCACCAGAAGTGCAAAACTAGTCGGGGGGGGGGGCATAAACTGGACCCTGTAGAACACACTCAGGTTTTGCTTCTGTGTTCATCTTCACTCCCTGCACTTCCCACCGAGTGTCCATTGGAGGTATGAGGGATTTCATCACACCTTGGAACCATCAGATGACTCTCACCCTTTTTCTGCACTGATGCTATGTACTGGTTAGCCTTCCAATTCCTGGGAAGAATACACAACACTCACAATTTAAGGGAGAAGACTGTTACTCAGCTCACAGTTTCAAAGGGTGCAGTCCCTGATCGGCTAGCTCCAACACAGACACGTTTTGGCAGCAGGGCTTCCCAAAGGAAAGCTATTCACCTATGGTGACTAGAGGGAGAGCACAGGGAAGAGCACCAGTGGGAGACGTACCCTCCAAGGCACGCCCTCACTGACCATCTCCAACTGAGCCCACCTTCTTCCAGCACATTCCGCCGTGAACATCAGGGGTGTATCCACTGATGAACAGGGCATCCCCACAATCCTGTCACCCCTGCGGGAATCTATTAGTCCACTGAAGTTGACAATTAACTAGCACGAGTTCACTCCTTGTTACCTTGACACCTCATTACCTCTCCTGAAACCATACTCAACCTCCAAATGAACACAGTAACAAGTTAGTAATCACACCTAGCATGGTACCACTATCCGGTGTACAACTAACAAGACAATAATCCCTTCTCCAAAGTCTCAGTGGCTCCAACATTGTGCAAAAGTCCCAAGGTGTCCTAAGACTGTGAGCAGACCCTTAGCTGTGAAGTCCTGTAAAACTCAAAAACAAGTTTAGTAATCACAAAACACACAGGCACAGAGTAAACACTCCCATGCCAAGAGAGAGGAATAGGAGGATAGAAAAGACTCTGACCGGAGCAGAAATGAAACCCAGCAGGGCAATCCCTGCGTCCTGTAACTCCACATCTGGTGCCCCAGCACAGGATGGTAAGGTGTGAGTTCCCAGAGGGCTTGGGCAGCCCCACCCCGTGACCGTAGCAGTTGCATCACTGAAGACCATACCATGCACTCGCCTCTCCTGAGCCTCTCAATCCGGTCAGGGAGACAATTAGGATGAGCTGGCACACGCTATGATTTGGAGTCTTGTTGCTGTCAGCAGTTTGTACCCAACTCTCCGGGGTGTGCAGAGGAAGGTTGTGGTAACCCTTGTTAGCTAGTTGTTGGTGTCATGGGTTTGTGTGATGCTGTGTATTCTCTGTGTTCAAAAACAACGGTCCCGCTGCCACCTCATCTCCAAAATACGCACATAGCACATTCAGTGTCAGGTAGGAAAATACTAAAGTGTTAAGTGGTCAACTTCATTTCTCTGCTGATAAATCTAAAATAATTTTCTCTTTCACAGTGGTCTTATCTATATTTCTAAGAAAAATGATGCTTCATGCACTGCTCCTGCACACCCTTAAAAGCCTGTTGTACTGAGCGTGTGAAAAGTACTGGGCTGGATTCACGCGCAGAGCCCAGGTGCTGTGCTCCCTGCACTCCAGGCAGTTTTTTCTGGGTCAGGAAAACCTGGACACTATCCTTCACTCTCCACCTCTCACCTTGGTGCCTTTGTTTGTTCTCCAGACCACAGCTGGAGTGACATTTGGAGAACCCAAATCTGTTTGTGTAAATAAAGCCTTTCCTGGTCTACACTCTCTTCCTTTCTCAGCCTCATCTCCCTTGATTCCTTACCTGGAACACTATGTACCAGCTACAGAGAACTTGTTACATTGTCAAATAATCTACACCCACTCTATGGGAGAATTTAAGAGTCATACAAACAATACATGGTCATTCCTTGTATATCGAGCCGTTGGTTTCAAGACTCCCTGCACATAACAACATCCAAGGATGTTCAAATCCCTTATAGAAAATAGTCTGTGCCGGGCCTGGTGTCACACACCTGTAATGCTAGCACTTGGGAAGCTGAGGCAGGAGAATTACAGTGTGTTGAAGGCCAGCCTGGGCTACATAGTGAATTCAAGGATAGCCTGAACTACATAATGAGACCCTGTCTAATAAACGAACAAATAAATAAACATAGTATTTGCATATAACCTATGTACATCCTGTTGTACATGAACTCATCTCTCGATTATTGTTCCTAAGGCAATAGAAAATTGTTAGGAATGTAATAACTATATAAATAGTTCTTATACTGTATTGTGTAGGGAATCATGACAAAGAGGCCTGCACCTGTTTAGTGCAGGCTTCATTTCTTCTGATCCTTTTTCATGGGACCGATCGAATCTGTGGCAGTTGAATCTGTGGCGGTGGAATCCTCCCTGTGGAAGGAAGTGCTGTGGGACGACATGCTGAGAACCCAGCCTTGAACTGTACGAAACAAATTGTTCTTTTTAAAACTTCATTCTTTTGAAACTGCCCAGTTCTGTAACTGCTTCATGGCTATGTAATTACTTTCTTGGCTCCTGTAACCATGAGAGCATAACTGGACATGCGGGATGCCTGATTGTACTAAACTTCGTGACCATTAATCCAGCCTTGTAGCTGATGGTCATTAATCTAGCCATGTAACAATGATCTCACCCTGCCAGCTAATCAGAAGAACTGCCAGGCTGTTCTGCCTCGCCTTTGTACCTCCTACCTGTGCATCATATAAAAGCCCTACACCACTGGAGATCAGGGCCTGATATTTTGGGAAAGATCCTCACCAGTGCCTGTCAGTGTAAAATAAGTCTGCCTCCAGATCCTAAGTGTCATTTCAGTGTTTCTGTTTGCCGTTGCACTGTGTTACGATACACTTAGACCCATAAGATCTAAGATCCCAAAAGGGATGCACTTAGATCCCATAAGGGTCTCCTGATAGGTCTATTATATTTTTTATTCTCACAACAACATATGTTCTCCACCATAGTTTCTTCTTGTAGTTATGATAGACAAAACATATCAAATTATACACTATTCAGCATATCATACACAAAGTCTGTTGCGGGAAATTGAAGGTAGTACTTTCTGAGCACATAACACCATGAGCCCCACACTTGTTCAGTCTTCTCCTCGACTCTGTGAATCATTTCCATTTCACAGATGAGAAAAGATAAGCACAAGAGGAGGAAGTTGTTTCCCCAGGTTCAGCCCAGTTGAGAAGGGAGAAGCAGGAATTAAACTTGGTCTCTGGTCCTCAGCATCTGCAGTTTTAACCAGGGGGCTCTGCTGCTGCTCCCGACCAGTGGATGTGTTGGGGAACTAAAACATGCACTCTTAACTGAAGAAACACTGCCCAACATGTTCACAGTTCATACCTTAGTGACCAGCATTGAGCCTTGATGTAGTTAAACTTAATTCATTTCCAAAATTACCCTAGGAGGTAAATGTTGTAATCATAATCCCTATTGTACCTGTGAGTAAATGAAAACATTAAATAACTTCCAGGTCAAATAGTAGGAAGTATGTTTTTTTTTCAATCCTTATTTCTGAGCTATATAAAGTTGTCTTGGGTTGACATTGTAACTCAGTGATAGTGTGTGTGTAATATGCGAGACCATAAGTTTTATCCCTAGTGCCACCAAAAACAAAGTTTATGTAACTGCTCCCTTAATCTTTGTGTTGCTTTTAACTAAACTGTTATTCTAAAGTAATCATCTTAACCATTAGAGTGGTTTTATTTACATAATGACAACATTCAGAAACTATGACTAAGTTGATCCCTGATCATTTGACATTTGATTTGTGAAATTTAAAAAAGATAGGGTTTTGTATGTTTTTCTAAAGAGGTGCATATATAAATGAGAAAGGAAAGACAGGCTATATTTGAAATCAATGTTTGTATGGTAGTGTTTTTCCCCACGGACATTTAAAAATCAATGCATTGTTTAAATACAGCAAGTACTAGACCTGAAATAACAAAATTTTTAGACGAAGTTCAAAGATCTCAGTGACAAAACTAATCCTAAATAAAAACTAATGCATCTCAACTGTCTGGTTATCGCAATTGAAGTAGGACCTTCCGGAAGTACTCTTGATTATTTAGCGTTCATGTTGTACTCATGGAAAGCCTGCTGACACATGGTGTTTAGTACAGTTTACAGTGGGGTAAATATTTGCTAACAAGTCTCCAAAACCTTTATGGACATAATATGTACCTTCCACAAGCTCTTAGGGAGGAGGAGGGCCTAAAAGCATTTTCGTAAAGCTGCACTTAGTGAAATGCACAGTTACACAGCAGTGGAAGCACTTTTGAGTTAAGGTAGATACATACACATGGTTTACAGATAGTTTACACTGCGAAGCCCAAGAAATGGACTGAACCAGTTTTGTGGTTCTCCGTTTCCATAAGGAAGCTCTTATACATCAAGACCTTGGAACTCAATAAAGATATTACCATAAAACAAGTTACTACAATAACCCTGGCATGCCTTGTTTGGTCCCATTCATGACTAGTGAATGCTTGATACTGGCAAGGCATGCACATGCCAGGGATAGGCACTTAAAAGAAATAAATCAAAGTTGGGCCTCACAACTTTTGAGAAGGACAGAGTCTGTCTGGAGCAGCAGGCCGTGCACACCTGTGGATGTAGTGTTAGGTCAGAAGCACTGTTTTCTCCAAGGATGACTGCCTCAAGGAGGTCCTGTCTCAATGGGATTGTCTTAGATTTCCAGGTGAATCCTATAATACATAGTGAACTAACCTACACTCAGGTACATTTGTATTTCTCCGGTAGCACTCCCTGATGACATATCACAAAGTGAAAGAGCTCCTTACATGTGTCCGATGTCTCAGGCTTCGTGGCCCCTCATTCAGGCATCTTGGAGAGAAGAGCGGCAGCTGCCTGTCCTGGCTCCACCTGACCCACTCAGCAGTGCAAGCAGAGCAGGCAGGACTGTGACCTCACAGAGAAGCCCCCGGGGGCACTAGGGAGCACCAAAGCCGAACTCCTGCTGGAGCCATGATTGCCAGCTCAACACAAAGAAAGGGAGACTGCTGATGAATTCCTTCCGCTTCCAGAGCACCCCGGAGCATGGGTCTGCCTTCACACTGTCTCTCCACCGAGAGCAGTACTTCCCGACTCCGCTGCTGTACAACCCTGAGCCGTGTCTGCAGGGAGTTCTGCGGAAGCCACTTTCCACGTGACCTGGTGCATCCGTTTAGCAGTTTCCTTCTTTTATTTCCCCGGAGAATTTTAAGTAATTGTAAGTGGATTCAGTGGACCTGCTGAGACTCGGCAGGCACCAGGAAGCAGCACCTCCGGCTGTGCCAGCTCCTGGGCCCCGAATCGAGGTCCGGCCCAGCGGTGAGTCTCGCGATGCACCCTGGCGCCTCCAGGCCGAGACAGATGCGCGCTTTCACCTGGGCGGTGCTTTCCAGGCTGGTTCAGAACAGCCTTTAACGCTGAGTTGGGATCATTTCCTCACAGGATCAAAGACCTGAACCCCTACCAAGTGAACACCTTAACCTAGTTCTCAGTGGAAAATACATTTCCTTCCTCACAGAAGAGAGCATGGCAAGCATTACATTTTCCCATAGACACTTAATCAGGAGAGTACACTAAGTTTCATGGTATCGTAAAAAAAACAAAAAACAATCTAAAAAAAATAGGAGCATAGTTCAGTGCAAGGGTCCTGGGTACCGTCCCCTCCAAAAGAAATAATAAAAGGAAGGAAGGGAGGAAGGAAGGAAGGAAAGAAAGCGAGCAAGAAAGCAAGCAAGCCTCCATCACTGGATCAAGTTTTAGGGCCAGAACATGAACACCTAGATCTAGGCAATGACCTCTTTTCCAAAAGAAATAAAATATTCGGTGATGTGTGCCAAGGTGGGGTAAATCCAGAGTACAGCAGTGATCCAGCCACCAGACCCCAAATACTGACTTTAGTACAGTGAACTGAAACTGCCAAAGCCAAGGTTGTTCGCAAGAGAAGTGAAGTGGGGTGGGGCTGAGTGTGACGTCCAGGGACTGAACCAGAGAGAGACACACAGACGGCCCCAGGACCAAGGACAGTCCGTGTGAAGTGTTGCTCCCACAGCAAAGGGCCCCATGAGTGACAGTGATCAGGTCCAGCAGGGGCTTTGAAAGAAAACACCGTCCAAAGCACGGGTTTTAACCTCTGGTCCTTCTCCTGGCTGGAAAACACCTCTGCCGGAAATGTCTCGGAGCTTGCCGTGCGTTCGGCATGAAGGCAGAAGAGCTCAGTGCTGCTGTCTGCGTTTCTCTTTAATAGACTGAGACACGGTGACACTGAGGGGAGGGGAGGGAGGGAGACTGGGGCTAGAAAAGGAAATCCACACGGCACCGATGTCCCCGACCCGACCCTCTCCGTGCCACCCTTGTGCTCCCGTGACATCGCAGACCTGCTTCCTTTCTGCGCAGCTGATGCCCTGTCTGGGCCAATGTTGTTCCAAGTGACAGTGAGTGTTCTTGCCAAATGCCGGGGCTCGGAGTCACATCTGTTTGTCTGCGCTCCGCAGCCCGGCCGCGCTGCCTGGGAACATACTGTGTCCGGGGGCAGCTTTAACTCGGCCTAACTCTCGGAGCAGCCTCTGTTTGTAAACACGCACAACGAAGCGACAAGCTCATATTGTCTTCTCTTTAGTGTTATTGTGTTTGACACGCCTGCCTCGCTCCTGTCATTGCTTGTCAAAGCCGGGTTTCCAGGCGAGGTGGTGCTCACTGGGATCTTGCTTCTGGTTTCAGTTGAGTGTTGCTGTTTTATTACTTTTTTTCCTCCAGACGAGATGCCCCTCTTGTGGCCACCACTTGCGGTTTAAACAGACAGCTTCCAGCAAGTGACACAAGAAGCCAATTACATCTTAAAAAGCAAAACGAAACAAAAAGGCTTATTTTTGAAATGTGCATTTCTAATGTTTAATAGAAAATTTTTTCAAAACTGAGGCACAGAGAGCCATGTTTCCAACCATAACTGATTGGCCACCCGAACGTGGCACCGTCCCTTCTTCACCGTGCCCACTTGGGGACATGTGCTCCACTCCTCTCCTCCCCTCTCTCCCCCAGGCAAATCTGAAAGGAACACACTGACCTGGCTGATGACTCATTTCCTTACAGTGCCTTTTACAGGAGGATCTCAAGATCCTCTTTTAATAACTTTAGACCTGTCCAAAGGACATTGTCATTCTTCAAAATGCCGCAGCAGAAACAAAGGAAATAAAGAAAAAGAAACTAAAAATTCCAGCTCTCCCCTGGGACAGGAAGCGAGGTGTCCTGCTTCGGAGGGAAGAGGGGACTGCCTTGACTGTTCCATTTTACATTGAGCGTAACTAAGTGACAACCAGGTAACAGGAACCTTACTCGGAATTATTTGTAGCAGCTCCATTGCCCTCGTGAAGCTAGAGGGAAGGGCACCCCTGAGTTGGGCGATCTTGCTGGTCAGTCCCCTGATCTGTCCCTGAGCTGTGGCAGATGCTCGGTTGTGCTGGCGCGACTACAACACAACTGGCCGTTTTTCCCGTGGCCCAGATCTTCAGGTTCTGTGCTGCTGACTTTATTCCCTTCACTTTTATTCCCCTTGCGCACTTCTCTTTGCCTGTGTGTGTGTGTCCGGTACGAAGGAGAGTTGGAGGAAAGTGTTACATTCCATTTGCTCTGTAAAGATAACCAAAAGAGAATTCTCGCTGGGGCACCTGAGAGAAAGGTCTGAAAGAGAGGGTTGTTCCTGAAGTTTGTTGTTTGCTATCTTTGTAAGCAGGGCTTCCTAATACATTTTAAATAGTGCTAAAAGGAAACACAAAGCAGTTTTGTGCAATACTGACTTGAGAGAATGATTTCTAAGCAATTAAAATGCTCCAGTTATATACACCTTGCAGGAGAGCGCCGTCTGCAGACACCACCACCTCCTATGTGCCACACACTTTAGTTTCCATTGTCATTCTTTCTAAATATGTATTTCTTTGCTCTGGCTAATAAACTTTTAGCTTGGCTTGAAGCTGAAATGTACATGAGAGTAATAAAATCCAGCATACGTTTTTCTAAATAATTCCGTTTTATGCCTGATTCACAAAGACACCTTCCCACTTTGGTCGATCTCCTCCCCGGACATGCCAGTGGGCCCTGGTGTGCCCCATGTGGTGTCTGTCCCTCCTTAGCTGAACTTCTGGGAGGGGACTGTGCCTGGACACTTACAGACCTAGCTGGCCTCTCAGTCTTGAGTCTCAACCCTGCCCAAGCCAAGCTTCCTACCACCGTCTCACCCATCTGGTCGGCTTCCTCTTCTGTAACACTTTACTAACTCCACATCAGTATAAAAACCAAAGGCCGCCAGGGCTTGTCTGTGCCATGTGTGGCCCCATGACACCAGCCTTCTCCACTCGCAGTGCCCACACCCTTCCTAAGCACTGCTCTCCAAATACCTTGAGCTGCAGACACTTCTCTGCACAGCGCGGGAAAACCATAGCTGTCATATAAAGTGGGTATGTGTAAAGGCTGCACTGAGCTCATTAATGAGCTGAGGAGACTGGGCACACGTTATAATCAGTTCGGAGGAGAAGGCAGAGGAGCACGCGTAGCAGTACTGTAATGAGCATTCCAGGGGACAGAAGAATTGGCTATGCAACGGTAGGCAGAGTTGTGCTTCTACAGGACGTTTGCATCTCTACAGACAAGAATGATTAACCACTTACTCCAGCATAGAAGTGTACCGCAGCTCCCACAGCATTAGAGTTCTGATGACGAGAAGGCATGATTATAAACATTGTTTTTCCACTGGAGCACAGATTTTTCCCTACAAGGAAAACACATGTGTCTATTCAACAGGTTTAGAATTGTTAATATGTAATTAATGCTGTCCCTCCTACCACCACCACCCTCCCTACTTATTTGAACCATATAAGGCTTTCCCTGGGACTCTTCCATGAGGTCTTTAACTCCCTGCAGTGGTATAGACTGAGGGCTCCATTTCTGTCCCCTTCCCCACCCGCTCCCTGTGATCACTCCCGGTACAGTGCCTCACGCTGCATTCCTGGTACTCACTCATAAATGCTTGCTGAATAAATGAGTTAATGTTTGTACAAAACCTCTCTGATATTTTAAAATTTCTATCTAGTTTTTAAAAAAGTAAATGTGGTCATAATCTTCATTTTTTTCTTAGCATCACAAGACAATACATCACCTCAAAATCCAGTAAAATGTTACAGTTTTTGCATGTTAATGAACATTTTGAGGGCAAAGCAGACAAAGATGTTAGCTGAATGAACTAGCTTGTACAGAAATAGATATTATTTCTAAAACAGAGAAACAGTGTGGACTCGAGGTAAATGCCCATTTCCTGTTGAGCTTTGCTGGTAGATTTTTCATGGTGCGTTTGTCTGTTTGTGCTCCTTGGGTTATTTCAAGCCTTCATTGTAACTTTCCTCCGCTTTATGGATACAATCTCTATTTGAAGTAATTTCACTCCCCAGCACTAATTTTTCTGTTTGTGTGAGTGTAGTGGATGTCTTATTTCTTACTTGTATTATTTTTTTTCCTTTTACCTTTTCTAATAATGTGGTTTTCAAATTGGATCCTTTAAAACCTCTATATACTATAGATACTATAGTATATGATACTATAACATATCTCCATGTATTACTGAAAGACCATGTACTACAACAAATGTGCTTCATTTGTTTCTGCTTCATGGTCCCACACCCAAGCCCAACCCCACATCAAGGATTACGATCCAGGAAATGAACACAGACACTTTCTGTAGCTTGAGAAGTTTGAAGACTTTGGAATCATTTCTACCTTTACATTATCCCTTTGGATTTCTGATTGGTCCATTTATTTTTCTAAATCTCTTAGTTTAGGAGACCAAGATTAGACAGAATACTCTTTTTTGTTTTGTTTTTTTGGTTTTTCTCCGGTACCGGGAACCGAACTCACGACCTTGCGCTTGCCAGGCAGGCACTTTTTGCCGCTGAGCTAAATCCCCAGCCCCTTAGACAGAATACTCTTAATTGTAACTGGTTCCAAGAGTAGCAGAAAGTCTACTTCTCTGTTCTTATATATCACATCACTGTATATATAACCCAGTATTACTTTGCACTGCTTAGTAGCAGTAGACCAGCATTGGTGTATTCAAATTATATTTTCTCACCTTGCTAATAAACAAACATTGCAATCATATAAATTATGAGGAGAACATCACTGTTTGCTTCTATCTATTCAAAATGTTTTAAGAGAATTCACTGCTGCATAATATCCTAAGAGAAATTGATCATACTTTTCCTGTAATAAATGTTGTTCTGACAGTAAAGCATTAGTAACCAATTGATAACCTAGCAACAATATTGTGATCTCTTTAGATAATTAATCTTCGCTATTTTCCTGTCAGAAGCAACAGTGTTTGATTTTATGTTGAGCCAGAAAGATTGCCAGTTTTGAAAATTAAAAAGCATCCCTTTTATATTATTCATTCCAGTAACAATTTATGATGGCGCATTTAGCTGCTGAACGCTTGTCAACAAACGTAATTATGTTTCGATATAAACAAGATTGGTGGTTTTACGATGCAGCTCCATCTTTGTGGAGAATGTTTTGATTTAGGTTCAGATTATACAAGCTGTGTATTTATGTGTCATTTTTCTCCTTCTTTGTTAATAGTTTTTTTCTGATAATTACTTATAGGCAAACAAGCATGCATTTAGGATCCTTATGCACCGGAGACATCAAAAGGAGAAGAAAAGCCGCACCTTTGCCTGGACCTACTGCTGCAGGTAACACCAAAGAGGGCCTGGAGTGGGACACAGGTGGAGACTCATAAATCATCAAGAGTAAAACACGTAAACCATTTGCATTTGGTGTCAGGATGCAGTGCATGTTCCTTGTGTAGATTTCCTAGGTAGCAAATCATGGCAATCTTTGCCACATACCTGCCCTAGTGCAAGACTCTGAGATATCAAAGAATGCAGAAACTACAAGGGCTATGTATATGTTGGTCTCAAAAACTTTTTAGACATGTTGTAAAGCATACCTCGGTGAAACAACAAACAATCCGAGGACAGATTAATAGCAAGAAGTTCAAAAAATATAGCAGCACTGTCAAACACAAGGTCCTGTGTTGGAAGCAGGTGGAGGCCTGGTTTCTGAATGCAGTCATCTGCTTTCTAGTCCCAGTTCTGCAGCAATCTCAGGTTCAGCTTTTCTTATTTAGACAATAGTAGCATTAGAATAAAAAAAAGAAAATCTCCCTTGTGTACCTCAAGAACAATGTCATGTTGGTAACATAGCATTCTAATAATGAATGTAGTCAGGAAAACCTACCCATGTTGAGCAGAGGGAAGTCACCCTACAGCAGTGGGGCAGGAGGCCTTCCCGGTAGGGCAGAGACTCAGCGGTCAGTAGTGACGGACACACAGAAGGTGCATCTGCATTGCACAGTCTCATGCGAGAGCAGCAGGAAGGGAGGCCCAGGTGAGTCGGCGGTGGGAGGCCAACTGGACCTTAAATTGTGGACAGCACCTTGTATGAATAAACAGCGGCTGGCGCTGCCAGCAGACTCTGGCCATGAGAATGTTTTCAGTGTAGATGCTTGAACTAAGTTACAAGGAGGGTTAGTCTGGACCCACCGCCTGGGCGCCTTCCCTTCTCAAGTCTACAAAGGTTCTCTCGACTTCATTTGACCAACCTTTTATAAGTAAAGTGATTTTAATCATAGACTACAAAACTAGGATTTATATAAACAGAAGAATAAGCAATAAGAAGAAAAGGAGATGTATATATATATATTTGAAAATTTTTGTGTAATGAGTTTCAAAGAAATAAAAGTTGTGAAGCTTATGTTGTCTCTTCCATAGTTCAGCCCTGAAAAAATCGAAGACTAACTTATAGTGAGAGCACATCCAGGCACATTGTTCCATATAAAGGGCTATGTTATGGAATCACACACTTAGTTATGCTTCATCTCCCTAGTCCTGTTGAACGTTCAGGATTTGGACTTAAAAGACACCTGTGTATAGTGTGCTTCAATTTATGTAGAATAATATTTACCACTTACTAGGTACCAGAACTTTACTCTTTTTTGTATCTGTAACATCTATCTGAGTGTTGCTGTCGTCACTTTACAGAGAGTAAAATTTTTAAGATGCAGAGAAGTGATCGGTCAGCTACCTAGGATGACACAATTATTCAGCACTTAGATTGGTCAGCTACCTAGGATGACACAATTATTCAGCACTTGGATGAGATGTGAAGCCTGGTCTGTGTGAGCCTTCACCCTTATTTCTTCTGTAACAGCTTGGCCTCTTTGTGCGCATATATATTTGCAAAGACTGTCCTAGTGCATATGTTGACTTGAATCTGTTATAGGCTTTGTTGTGTAGAAGATTTGTGCCGCTCTTCCTGTGTAGAGATAAAGCGCATTCACTGAGTATTCCTAATGCATCCCTTCCTAAGAAACAGTCACTCTTTAGATCAAATGTGTGTGCTAAGTTCTTCGATTCCCATCTCCCATGAAGCAGATACAGGGCTCTTCAGCATCCCCGCTTCCAGCTGGATGGTTCTCTGCATCACTTCGTCTCTCAGTGACACAAACATTAGTGGCAGAAACAGGACAAGAACAGTCTTAGGAATTGCTGCTGAGGAAAGTGCCAGCCCTAAGGAACAGAGACTACCAGGGTCAGCTCCCAACACTGGGAACGTATGTGAAGTGGGAAGGAAAGAGATGACGGTTGAGGGAAGGGTAACATAATTACTCCTACACGGAGATTCTGATACAATTCAGCAGCGTCTGAGGAAGTCATGTAGGCACACCAGAGGTACAAACAAACTTTGGCCTCAAACACTTTCTTGTCAAAGCTTGCATGGCATGGTCCAGTGTTACATTTCAAATCTGTTGTGATTCTTTTAAGATTCAGGATTTTTATTATACTGTTGGAGTTTACTTAAAAGATAAAATTCATAAAAAACTTCATGCATTTTTAGTTACTCAAAAAGTAGTGGAGTAGGAGAAATACGCTACTCATTTTCAGTGAGATTTTTTTATCAAGTCTGTGTATAACTGTTTTTCAAAAGGGAAGAAAGTGAGGTTATTTAAAGTCTTCAGTTGTAAAGAGAATATCTTGTAACACTAATGAATCAATTGGAAGGTGAAGATTATTGCAGTGATTCAAGTAAGAAATGCTTTTGCATAAATTCACTGTGATAATGAAGTTATGAATCTCAAATCATCCTGTCCCTGGAAAATCATAATTTTCAAATTTTGGACTGTAGTCAGTGACATAATACATAGTCACATATTTTTAAACTTCCAAAGTTAAGCTAACATATAGAATTATACTGAAAAGGATATCCTTGCTGTTTTCACTGATCTTTGCAGATCTCCCAGAAACTCACTCTGAGCTGAGATATATTTTCATCTTTATGTTTAGTAAATATTAAATCTAAGCTGGAAAAACACAAGGGAAGAAAACTCTCTTTCGTGTGAAATAGAGAGCAAGCATGAAAAGAATGACAGCTTGAATGTTGATAATCCTCTCCTATTTCTATGTGAAATAGTACACAATAAAGCACTAAGTGTAAGAAAGATTTACCAAAACAAGGTACTATAATTAGGCACTTTAACTTCATAATCCCAAATTGGACTTGCATAAGAGTTTATGACTTTCAAGATAAAGAGTTATGTTATATTCATAGTAAGTAATAATACCTTTAAAAAGGTTTGACTCCACCATAAAATTAATAACCCAAGATCTGATCATGTTTGTGTGCTCGCATATTGAAATGTGTCTCATCCTCTTTTAGCAGCAGCCCTGAAGCATGATTTCAGTCTCTTTAGAAGACTGTAGACCAGCCAGGGGTATTACTGGTTGAACATTTATTAATTGTGACAAGAACACCAAATTTATTTCAGTGCTTTAGCTTATTTACTGCTCTTTCACCTTTGTATTTTGTATTGACAAACTATAACGAATATTGATAATGTTAGGTATTGATTCTTTTTAATGTGTGGCTTGTTCTCTGCCTCATTCAGAGCCACACACCAGAGGATAGTGGCCATCTCAGTAGCAAAGGATGTAGATTTACTATTATAAAATTGAGAACTATTGAAGCAAGCAGGTTTGCCAGCAGAATGCATTTTATAGTTTGAAAACTGTCATCTGTAAAGGTGAAGAGAAGCAGTGAACAAAATAGGAAGAATTTTATTAACGCTTTTTTAAAGGCAGACAGCAGTGTTGGCTGTGGTCTGTGATTTTGGTAGAAGTCAGTTTATTGAGGACTTGATAGTAAGACTTAATTATGTTCACAGATATTGTGGCTACTACTTTTTTAAAAAATGTTTTATCCACGCTACAGTATCGAACCCAACATTATTCAAAATTAATATTGCCTGTCATTCTTTTGCTTTCTGTTGAGATAATGCCACAGTAAAAATGTTCAATATAAGGAGTGCCCTTTTCCTCTGTAAAAAAGAGTTGTGAAGAAGTGCCCACTGTCTCGGTATAGGCGTTGCTCTAAAGTACCTGTTTTTATGGACATGTGAGTCTTTGGCAAGAGGCTACGTTGCAGCTGTTTGTAACTTTTCAACGTTTTCTTCCACATCCTACCATAACTTCAGTACAAAACGTCTCTTAACATTTATGGTAGTCAAGGTAAATATAACTGACAGTAATGGGTTAATATTTTTACACGCTGTGCTTCCCAGTAGGTCAGATCGGGCAAAACCAGAAGTACTTGGCACATCCATCCTGCTTTTTAAAGACACAGATTTCCCCAATTAGCCCATGGCTGTATTTTTTACCTTGTTTTATCACCAGACTCTCATCACCACTGTGGATTCTCTTATATTTCCCAGGATTTGAAAACAAACCTTTCCAAGGGGATTGTAATTCTGAAACCAGACTCCATCTCAATGAATAGCAAAGGCTCAGGAAGTGTGCAGCTCTCCGCCACCTGACACGCTCCTGGCCTGTACTTTAGGAGAGCTTCAGTGAGTCGCTCTCCACTGTCAGTCAGTGCGGCGAACACTGAAGGACAGAGGCCACACACATGGGAAATAAGAAAGAACTGCTGTTCTTGGCACTGTAAAAACTAAATGAGAAAATTCTCAGCCTACAAAAGACCAGGCAACGCTGAATAAAATGGGGGACAGACATGCAATGGCTCAGGACTAGAAGTGGCCCTGAGAAGCCCACACCCAGGCTCATGATTACCAGGCTGAAGACCTGGACCCCCTCCTGTCAGGGTCCCTGAGGGAAAGGAGCCCCACCTTCCCACTGCTCTGGAAGTCAGAACCTCTGAAAAGCTCTGACCTCAGAAACAGAAGACTAGAAGCAAACCTACGGTCTTAGTTACCTTTCTCATTGCTGAGACAAAATACCTGACACCCAAAGTTCAAAGAGGAAAGGTTTATTTAGCTCACAGTTTGCAGATGTTTCAGTCCATAATTGACTGGCTCCAAGACAAAGTGGCATCACAGAGGAGAAAAAGTTCACAGTGGGCAGACGAGCACAAAGCAACAAGGGACCTTAACAGCATGTTTCTGCCCCTTTTATCTTATCCAGGCTATTTTTTTGGGGGGGTGGTTAACATTCACACCCTTAATCCTACTTCTCTTGCTCCTAGCATTGCACCAGGAATTAATCCCAGCATCATACACTGTAGATCCTGCCACCTCCCAAAAAGCCCCACCTACGACTACATGAGGCTTTGGGGGACATCGAGACACAGCCACAACACTCACTCACTCACAGACTTGCTAGAAAATAAGGGCTGTTTC